AGTTTTTAGCTTGAATGAACAACTCTGTGCAAAACTTTTTCCAGTGTACTGTGGTCTAAAACCCAACATTAAAATTTTATTTTTATTGTGATCTTGACAATCTTCTAAGAACTTAGCTCTATATCAAGGTAAGATCTCAGAAGTTTGGAATTAACTTTATTGCAAATCAATTGCAATATAATGGCATTTTTTTGCACCCCCAATTATTGTGACTAAAAGTCCTAGAATGGAATTTAATTCACATGCATTTTTCTGCATTTTTCAGAAAAACGCAAGGCTTATTCTTTTTTTCCTGGAAAAAATTACACTGCTGAGTCATGTATATTACTGTAAAAGTATCATTACACAGAATTTCAATCATTTTCAGATTACTAGCCGACACACTAGTTGCTTAAGGATTTGCTGTAATTTAGGTGCCTGTTTTGCAAAAACCAGCCCAGATTTCCCATACAGCTCTTTAATGGGAACACAGCTTGTAATGGACTTGTCAGGAATGAAGCGTGAAGCGTGGCCTGACAAGAGCCCTACAGTAGGGTACATGTCACGTCTTACCACATCAGGACATTGTCACCCTTTCCCTCCCACCCCAGCCCTCATTGATAGCCACTGACAGCCACCGTGTTTCCCCAAGTGTTGACACAGTGAATGCCACGACACTTATCTCCACTCAGCTTTGTCCCGTCCCACTCCTCTGCCGTGTCAAGGCCAGTTCTGGGGCGCTCAGCGTCAGATATATGACTGACTGTTTCCACCGTAGAGAACAGCCATGAGGGCAAAGAGGTGGAGGTAAAGGTGGGGAGAGAAAATAAGATAGCAGTGGAAGAGAAGGAGCGCTTCGAGGTCTCCCGGCGTGGTTTCTCGTGCAGCAGCAACAGTTAGAGGCTCAGCATTGGCTTGAGTTATGCCTCCCACTGACACTTCAATCAGTCCAGAGGCACCTTTGAAAGGTTGTGCCCCTTAGTTCTTTCTAAAATTCACACCCTGTGATGTATTTGTAGTTCTTACTGTTCCTGCTGAAAAACGGAGGTTTGTCGGTTTATTTATGCATTTTTGCAATTTGATATGAATTGTCCTCACTGTGGTGCTATTATCTGCTGCTAGCAGAATATTTTGTAAGAGTGGATGAATGGGTATCACAGAATGGCTGCATGATCTCATTTATCTGGTTGAGAGAAACGTGTGAAAAAACTTGCTAATGTACACATGAAAAAAAAAAAATCAGCTCTTCTTTGCACATCTGTTTTCTACATGGTCATCATTCACATTTTCTTTGTTCCACTGCAGTTTCTATTTGTATTTTTTATATTTTGCATGTATGTTTTTTTTAATTGAAACCATATCAGTTTGTGTGATAATAAATGTTTCTCTGTTTCTTTTTGACTACAGCTCTCTGGTGAACCCTGATACAATAAGTAAATGTGTTGATATAATGATGTGTTTGCTCCTAAGAAGTAGTGAATTAGGAAGTTTTTCACTTTATTTAATTTTTTGAGGAGGCAACTTATTCACCAGTTAATTAATACATGAACCAATAAAACATAGAGATCATCTGTTAACATAAACTCCTTATGTCATTATCTCCAAGCCTTACCAGAAGCAAATGTATCCAAAAGATAATTTTTCCCCCTCTGCAAACCAAAATCCAATAGTGTTGATCAGGGATGACGTGATAAGAATTGTGGGGAATCCCCAGAGTCCCAGATGTCGAGCAAACAATGCAGCAAACCGCATGCATAATGGCTACCTCCAACGCTTTTGTCCATATAAATTTAAACAAAGACGACGTTCCCGGTTCCAAAATCGACTTGGAATATATTGAAGGATACAGCAATACACAGCTCAAGCATTGACTACAAATTACAGTGCAAGTGACTCAACCGGGACACATTGATAAAAAGAGATGTGTTCCCGGTGTTTTTGCTGATTTGTATACTTTTGCCTCGATGAAAAAGAGTAGCTACAGATGACAGAAGATTTTGTGAAGGATGAACGCCACGCCAATTCGCCATGTATTGGTGGCAAAACAAAGAATGGATTTACCAGACGCTTCTTTTATTTTACGTGTTAGCCACTGTTAACGATTAGCTATAAGCTCTTTTACTCTCTCAAGTTTGAGTCAGATCTGACACAACCTTTTTAGATTTATCTATCTGGATTATTGAGCATGTATCAAGACATTCTTCTGTTGTTGTTTTTATTTTATTTTTTCAAAATTTTAATGTATTTTAACATTTGATAAGTTCCGAGTTTCACCACAATCAATTTTTAGCTTGGAAACAAAAAGGAAATTTATTTTTTCGCCATTGTTTTGCCAGTTTTAGCCATAAACCACTTTTAGACATTTTTTTTTTCACTACTCCAGGTAGAGAATGCCAGAATGGTGAGGATATGTTTTAGGATCTCTGGGATTTTTTAAATAACATTATCCTGCCACGTAACCTCATATGATTTGTGTTCAATTACAAACATTAGTTGGATTAAGTGCCTAAAGAGACAAATTAGCACAGGAGGCTGAAAAGGACGTTCTGTTCTCCTGTTAGTGTCTGACATGAAATGAAAGAGCAGGTGAAACATAATGGATAGGTCCACATACCTATTCAGGGACTGCAGTCACTCGTATGGGATCAGGGTGCTCCTCTGTTGGTCCGTTACCTACAATGAAGTGTTTTGAATGGACGTAAGTATTCTTGTTTGGTCAAAACCAACTCAGCCACAGTCAAATCCCACGATACCTTATCCAATACCTTACGTGTGAGGCTTGTCAGCATATCCCACATCACTGTTGCAAGTTCCATTGCAACAATCCTTCTTAGATGCCATTTTTTGCCATGTCTACAGCACTAATTGTTCTCAAAGTTCTGTTTGCCTGACATCCGGGTACTTGCTGACATAACATGGAGCTATTTTTATTAACCCTGACCAGCGCTATTGCAATCTGTTGCATACACACCTTCCTGTGCACACAGACTAAGTGTCAGTGAGAACTGTATATCATATCTGGGTTGACACCTTCCACATTAGGCCAACTCAATAAATAGATTAGAACAAGTGGAGCTTCAATGCTTTGAATTGCTCTTCCAAAAGGGATTTAACTGTTGTCATGGCAACACAATGTGAATCAACAAAAGAGGTGACTGATAACATTGACATGACTAATCTCTTCTTCTTTTTTCGTATTTTTGCCCCCACCCCCTGTTTCTCCCCCCTTCTCCGCCATCCTTTCTTTTTGTATCTGTGGCCCCAGTTGTTTGAATAGCTTTGTGCGCCCCACTTCGCTTCCCCCGACCTCTTCCTCCATCGCTCTCCTCTCCAACTGTACTTTTCATGCTTTCTCACCCGCTGCATCCCTCCCCTCCTCCCCATCCTCCTCTTGTCTGAGATAAGTGTGTGTCTAGAGAAGTTGTCAGCTATAAATCACATTTCTCCGTGTAGCCTTCTCAGATACCAGCGAGATAAAGGAAGCCATAAATAAGTCCACATTGTACACAAGTTACTGCTTTGCATTTAAACCTAACAGAGCTGTGAATAACCAGAGAAATAATGAAGTGTTTGAGCCTGAGCCCTAAAATGGAGATTATAGAAAACAATGTATTTCTGTAGAAACTATATAAAGCATATTTTTATGTATTTATTTATTTTTAGTTGTCCTCTGTGCTAAGCATGTGAATATGGTGGGATGCATGATCATGCAGAGTGCCTGAAAATCGATCCAGCCTGTGCAGGATGTTGTTATTAGCTGTTCTTGAGAATTTTGAATTTGGGCTCTCAATCACCATAGCAACCAGAATACAATGCCCCCCTTTTAGATCTGACTCATTGCTTTCTTTGCTTTTTAAAATTATTTTCCCCCTCCTTCCTGTCTTTGAGTCTTTTACTTTCTCACTCTTTGTCCTCCTATACCCCCATCTTATTCTCACCACTTGGCACAAAAAAAGAGGGGGTGTTGGACAGAGATCGAGGGACAGGCAGGGGAGACGTAGATAGAGAGACGGGATAGTCTCTGAGTGAAAGCGATACAAAGTGGAAAAGGGAAAGGGTGAGGCGAGAAGCACAGAAAGTGTGTGTGGGGGGGTGGGTGGGGGCAGGGAGTGAAAATGAGAGAGTTTTTTGTCTTGTCTCCCAGCTTGAGTTCGCCAGTCAGTAATTCAGTATATTCCTCAGACAGAAGCTTTTTTCTTCCCTGTGCTGCTGGATGTGCTTTATCTGGCTGGAGAGTTGCCCCAGCTGGGTATCAAATCCTGCTTTGGGGGTAAAATAAACAACAATATTTTTCTTTCATGAAAATTGAAACAGACCCTTAACTGCCAGCATTTTTTCCCCGAGCAGAACTCTGCAAATAAATTGCTGTAGCACAATAGGCCTGTGTAAAAGAAGGAGGCACAAGGTAGGGTTGTTTAATTAGCTAGTGCGTTTTCCCCCCATCACTGTCAAGGCAGATTAGCCTCCTCCTTGTTTAGAAGATGTGTCAGAGTACCTCTCTCTTTATTCTTCCTAATGGCTTCGTGCATGTCTATATTAGGAAGTGGCTCTGCTCCCTGGAAGACAACGCACGACCAGAACCGAACCTAATATTGTGGTGTGCATGACACAAATGACCAGCCACAGTTTTTTTTAGCTAAGATGGCCAATTACTGTAATAGAGTTTAACTCGAGTAGACGCTAATTTGTTTCTCATAGAGCAGATATGATCGAATATTACGTTCATTTCCATTAGCGGGCCGGCAGGCTGTGTGTGATTCCAGCTGGTATCTGGGAGGGAGATCGTCTGTTTGTGGCCTCTTTGTGCTGTAAATGCTGCTTTCAATCTGAGCTGACCCTTGATCAGAGTGGGTGGACGACAATGTGAATGTGTTAATGATGGCCGCTCTTGCAGACATACGAGACACCGGTGCCAAGCCTGTGATGGTCTACATCCATGGAGGGTCCTATATGGAGGGGACGGGCAACATGATTGACGGAAGCGTCCTGGCCAGCTATGGGAACGTCATCGTTATCACGCTCAACTATCGCGTTGGAGTCCTCGGTAAGCACATTTTTCTCTTATCTTTTTCTCTTCCCCCATCAAGGACATTTTTCTGGGGCATCTTTAAAGGGCGCCTAGGTGTAATGAGCACTCCTTATTGCTGCATGCACTCTAAATGAGTCAGAGTGGAAAAACACAAGCAGGACTGTGAAAATGGACTGTTTTTTTAAGACCTTGTTGATGTGATGCGAGCATGCAGTGTGTTAGTGCTCAAGTATCACCATCAAAGTCATTGAGTCTGCTGGATGTGGGTTTGTTGTGGTGTTTAGGATTTGGAATAAATGAAGAAATTGTAATGAAGTTGAAAAACGAATGAGATGGGCGTGATGCTAGAGAGATGGGAGAGAAGGAGTTGGAGTTGATTGCAGATTGACTCACACAACCAAATCCTCTTTTTGTCGGACACGACATGGAGTTTGTGAACAACCCAAGCTCTGAACCTTCATCATTCATTCTCTGGAATGTACTGAATTTCCTCAACACGTATTTTTTTATTTTATTTTTTTTTTAAATTAGAGTGAACAGATAATGAATTTGGGTAGAAAATGAAACATTCTTGTTGTGTTTCATGACAAATTGCTTTACATTTTATCTAACTTGTTGCCAGCTGCTAAAACATTACAAAAGCTGGTTGGTGTTATTATTTTAAGCTAACAGTTAGCAAATCTTATAAAAATGTAAATTCTTGGAAAATATTTCCTGACTTCTCTGCATTATCCTGGACTTTCACACCAAAATCAAACTGTTTCCAGTTGAAGAGCTACTGTAAATATTCCTGTCAAGCAGTTTAAAGACGTTTTGATGTGATGGAAGTTATTTCACCAGTGAGACATGATGGCAGCAGCATGACTGAGCACATTTTACTTTGAATAGCAGTGTGCCCGTACCTGCTAAAGCAAAAAAGAATACAGCTGGTGCATCATAAATGAAACAAGAAACAAATGCCGATACTCTGAATGCTGGAACTTATCAGAGCTTATGGTCAGACAGGATTTTTCTAACATTTGCAATACGTCATTAAATATTTATTGATGTGGTCAAGCCTAAAAGTCAAGAGTGTTTGGGCATTTATAAGTAAATCAGTGATGTGAGCCGTGGCAAACTTCCTGTTAATCAATCCAGAATAATTATTTATTGCTGCCTCTAAAGGCAGTATGAGTATCTGTTAGCTAAATATCTAATAAACTAGCAGGCAAATTAACCACTGAATGTGCATCTAAGATTAATAAACTACTGGAGTAAACCTGATTTAAAGCATCAGCTAATCAGCCTTAGCAAACATAAAAAAGTGGTTGTGACTAATTTTTAACAAATACTGGGCTAACATCTGGTGTGTTGGTGAACAGGAAGGGGCTCAGCACACAGCCCTGAAGAGAGCTAATACCGAGGGTGATGGGGGACTAGGACGTGTGGTGGTGCCTCACGGACTGCAGCCTGTCTCTCAGGAAAGTCAGCACCCAGTTGCAGAGGGAGGAGCTCAGTCCAAGGGAGGACAGCTTTTTGACCAGTTTTAAGGGATGATGGAGTTAAAGGTTGATGTGAAGTCCATGAAGAACAGGCAGACGTAAGAGTCCCTGCTCTCCGTGTGGGTGAGAGTTGTGTGCACCACAGCGAAGATGGCATAGATCAGTTTTTTTGTTTGTTTAGTTGTTTTTTTTTTTTTCCTGTATCCATGCTGGTATTGGTCCACCATGATGCTGATGGCATATTTGATGTGAACCACGATCGGTCTTTCAAAGCACTTCATGACTATCGGGGTGAGAGCTACCAGCCAACAGTCATTCAGGATTGTCACTGTGGAGGTGTTGGGGATAGGGATGATGGTGCCAGTCTTTAAGCAGGTGGGACCAGGTGCCTGCAAGCAAAGTGTTCAGGATGTCTGTGAGCACCCTGGAGAGCTGGTCAGCACAGTCCCTTAAAACTTTCTTGGAGGAGCTGCGGGGTGTCCTTGAGGTAGATGTAGAACCTGCTGAGAACATCAGGCAGGAAAGGGGTCATTGAGACACTGTGCACCTCTGATGTTGTAGTTTGAGATGCACTTGACGCCACGCCACACGCTGTGCAGATACTGGGAGGTGCAGTGACCCTGGATCTTGAAAGCATATTCAACTTTGGCCCATTGTACTCTCGCACTCACCTCTTTCCACTTCACCCTGAGTCTTCATTAGATAGACCTCTGCATTCAGTCAGTGTTGGGAATCTCATACCAGTGATGTCTTCTAAACACTTCTCCACATACTGCAGGACAGTAGATGTGTACTCTAGTAGGTTCACCCTGTCCTCACAAACGGCTACCTCCCTGAACTCCCACCAGTCTGTGCACTGGAAGCAGTTCTACAGAATAGAGACAGCATCACTGGGCTGTCAGTGATAGTCTTCTGTGCGAGTCTTGTGCGTTTCTGCAGGAGGAGGTATGCAGGGGCAAACATGATGGAGATGTGATGAAAGAGGCGGGGGGCTTTGTATGCATCTCTGATGTTAGTGTACACATGGTCCAGTGTGTTGTTTCCCCATCTAGGAAAGGTGATGTGCTTGTACATTTTTTGTGGAATGGTTGTCAGTCTTATGTGGTTAAAATCCCCCGCCACCACATAAACAGCCTCCAGGTGCTTATTTTGGAGTCCGCTGATGGTACTGAAGAGCTCTGCTAGTGCATCGTTAGCTTTAGTATACAGCGGGATATATACTGCCATAACAAACACCCAAACACAAACTCACAAGGCAAATAATGTGGCTGACATTTAACAATAAAAAATTAAAAAATTTATTATGAACAAAATTTGTGTAAAAATTTGCAAAACATATTCTAAATGAATTCCCTAACTGATTTGCAAAATTGAAAGGAATGTAAACATTTTAAAATAGCATTTGCATGCATCTCTATGAAATTTGTAAGACCTGAGGTGTCTGCGATTTACTTGCTTGCTTTAGTTGTTAGATGCACAGGTCGATCAACAAGCTACCGTATTTTTCGCTGTAACCAGTTTTTTGCATAAATTACCATGCCTGTGATTTATACAGTTAATCAACATATTTGTTTTTTTTCCCATATTTATAAACCAATTTTTGGCTGAGATCTGATGATTTCATTCATTCTGACATGGAAAACATTGAACACTACCATTTTCAGCCACTAGAGGGCCCTCAACTGAAATGGCAAGCCCAAGTGTTTCATTAATAGGTAAAGTGGCTATTAATGAGATACTTGGCTTGCCATACAAAGCCACCTTCATCTCGCTCCACCTTTGTCGCACCACCCAGGTGAAATGCAGCTGAGTTGACCATCAAAGTGCATTTATTAAGGAAAAGTTCAACTGAGACACAACTTTACTATAATGTCAAGCAAACAAATAATTGTTTTTAAGTGTTAATTTTGTTCAATTCTTGTTAAAGTCCTCCCATGCATGCTCCTGCAGCCACCATTTGGCAGCCATTCGATTTTTGGCACAACACTGGCCCACATTTCCGGGTTGTCAGTGGTGACGCATAACAAATATGACACGTCAACGGTGACTCATAGAAGATGTGACTTATATGGTAAAGCAACGTATTTATGGTTTTTTTTTTTCACTTTAATAAACATATTTGGACTGACGCGACTTTTACAGCGGTACGACGTGTACGTCGGCAAGTACGGTAGTGTTTTATTCAAATTGACGTTGTTCAAATCGCTATCTACAGCAGGTAAGATAATAACTGTTCACAGCATTCCAAAAGATTTGAACTCTTTATGATTGTTTGCATAATCAATTTATTTTTGGTTTAGGTTTTTTTCCCACCGGATTTGTTGACAACATAAAAATATTAAATATTTTCAGCTCCATTGTTAAAATTTGGTTCAGTCTTAGCTTTCTGCTCAGGGAGCTCCACATGTCAGGAGCAGAAGGGTGACTGAGAGGAGCGCCTTTATCCTCTGGGACATTGAGATGATTGCTGTAGGTGAATCACAGAGGCACAGCTCCATTCATCCTGAGACTCTTTTTGATGGAGATGAGAGCGCTGTGGCCTATCGATTTTGTCATCAGGATTGCTCGCCTTGAATACGTTGTGTTTTCCTCTGTCATTTTTGTGGAGTATCCTTTTGAGCGTTGTAATCAGCCTTCGGGGTGGGAAGGTAGTCAGTCTGAGCATGCTACCTCCTGCTTTTCCTGCCGCCGGTTTAAAGCCAAGCGCATAAGCCTAATACAGATTCATGACCATATTTCTTTCATGGCACTTCAATTATGAGTCAGATGTTTCCTCTCTTGCCGCCACGTTTCACCAAATGTCATCCTACAAGCATGCACACCCGCCGTGGAACGCCACATATAAACAACTCATGCACACTAGTGCACACATCATCAAACACACTACAGGCACAGTCGGTGAGACGAAGCAAAAACAAGCCACGCACCCACATGCACACACTCTAAAGCGTGCACTCTCACACACAAAGTACAC